ACGACACACCCTGGGCATCCCGTGGTCTCACCCCGAGAGCGCTAAGCTGAGGTCACAGGTGGGGCCGGGGGCGGGAGCCTGGAAATCAGGCTGGGAGAGGGGGCGGAGCCAGGAGGAAAGTGACCACGGGCCTGCGACACCAGGCATCCTGACCCTCGGCCTCAGGCCGCGTCGTCGTAGCCCCGCTTCTCCGGGCAGCCGGGAACCGTCCTGCCTTCGCGTTCCTCCTGCAGGTGATCCTGGGGAAGCTGTACGAGACCCGGAGCAGCCAGCTGAGGAAGTACAAGCCGCCCGTGGAGCTGGGCGCCCTCTGGCACATGCCCCACTTCCAGAAGGTCAGTCTCGCCTCCCACCGCCCCCTCCCGCGCCCAGGCGGCTGCCCCCGACCCTGCCCGGCCTGTGCCTGTCCTCCAGGCAGCGGGGCTCTGAGGGCCTCTGCCCGTCGACTGGCGTAGCGACAAGAACAACAGCAATAGAAATAGTAATAGTAACGCCATAACTGCCAGGCACTGAGCTCTGCTGAGCCTCCGACTCACTGAAGTGGGGAGCTGCCGCTGTCATCCCCATTTCACAGTCAGGAGCCGTGGAGAATGCTGGTAAGGGCAGCCTTGGGCTGAACCCGGGCCGTCTGACCGCAGAGCCAGGGAGTCCGTCCCCTGGGGCAGGCACTGTCTGGGACAAACCCCCTCTAGTGGTGGGGCCGTACGCCGCACCCCACACTGGGGACCTGGGGGTGCAGGACAGCGCGGTGCCACCAGCACTAAGGCTCCCACGGGGTGGTGTCCCGGGAAGCTGGAGCAAATGTCTCCTGTGGCTGACGGGCTGCCAGAGTGACCTAGCTAGCAACACCAAGCCCCGGCCTCAGCACGGACCCGGGGCCCATTCGCCACGTCAGCCCGCAGCATCAGACACAGGTTCACTTCAGCGGCTCTTAGCAGGGAGAGGGCAAGGGAGGAGCTGGGGACACCGTCATAGGAGGGACAGGGCTTCAGGAGGGTGGGGGCTGGGCGTGCTCAGCTCAGGCACTGTGAGCCTTTCTAGGGGCAGGAGGGACACGCCTGGTCCCAGGAAGACAGCTGCACAAAGCAACGTTCTTGGCCAGCTCAGGCCTGGCTGCTGTGTTGAGCTAAACTGCAATTTAGACAATGAAGGGGCCGTGCCTTCCTGAGCCTAATGCAATCGAACAGGCTGCCAGAGAAGCCTGCTTGCCCCCCTTGAAGTGGTTCTCGTGTCCTGCCCAAGTGGCCTTCATCAGCATATGTCAGTGACCATGTGCCCCGCCACCCATCAGCCCATGCCGTCCCCACACACACACGGGCAGGACCGGGAGCCGGGCAGGAGGTGGTGGGAGGCGCTGCATCGCTGCTGCATCGCAGCCCCCGCACCCCAGCCTGGGCAGCATCACTCACCTCCGGGTCCCCGGCCTCCCCCAGCTTTCCGTCTTTCTGACCTCATCCCTCCTCCCCTTTCTCTGTCTCCCACTTGGGAGTTTCTCCATCCACAGCCTCCTTCCTGGCCCCTCCTTCTTTCCTCCTTTGCTCATTTCTCTCTGATTTTCCTGCTGTTTGACATCCGTGGTGGGGGGCATCCTTGGGAACCTGCCCAGGAAGGACCGAGACCCGTGGCTCCTCGGGGACGAGATGCCCTCGGCAACACTCCGCCCTACAGCACTGGCTCCCAGCCCCTCTCCGCCCCGATTTAAAATCCACCCATAGCTCCCAAGGCAATGGACAAAGGAGGGCTCAGGTGGTCTCCCCTCCCTGCCATCAGAGCAAGGAAAGGGCCCCCTCCACACCCAACATCTCCCACCCCAGGTAACGTGGATTCTTCTGTATCAGAAACACCTGTCTCAGACACGGGTATCCTCATAGCCTGGCCTGGAGTAGGAGCACAAATCCAGAAATAAGAGTTTTTATTTCTAAAAGATGGGGTTTGCTGACCTCAGGCCCCTTCCAGTCTTTAGATTATTGTTATAAAATACTGTTATGAGCACAGTCGCCAACCTGTGATGCTGGCCTCTTGTTCGGTGCCGGGAGCAGTGCCAAGTCATTTACAGGTATTATTTCGTAAGCATATCCTCACCCGAGGGTACAGAGGAGAGGCAGAGAGGGTTCGCGCTTTCCTCGCCCAGCATGTGGCTGGGCCTGGAACCAAGTTCCTCTGACTGCAGGGCCTGAGCTCAAAGGCACTTTCCACGGTGTCATAGAAATGATGAGAAATAGAATAAAAACGCCAGCCCCGGGGACTTCTAGAGTGTTGTTCATCTTTTCCGGGAATGTTCATGGGTTTCTGGAAGTTCAGCCCTGGAATCTCAGAGCAGGGCTGGTCCCTGGGCGCCACCCAGCACAGCCCAGTAGAGAATCCGAGAGCCCCATTCTGGTACCGCCACCACTACAACATTCAGTACCCTCCTGATTGGGAAGCACCCCCAACGAAAAGCATTCATGGAGCTCTAACTGTGTGCCAAATGCGGGACATGTATTATCTCATAGCTATGATGTCCCCATTCTACTGATGTGGAAACTGAGGCTCAGAGAGGTGAAGGAACTTGCCCTGTGAGAAGGGGGTGGCTGCCTAATCCAGGGCCTCTTCTCTGCACGGCCGGTTGGGGATGCTTCCTGAGGACACTGTCCTTCACCTCCCAGCCCCACCCCCGGTGAAGGGCTCCCCTTCCCCACCAAAGGGCTCCTTTCCCACCCTTCGAGGCATTCATCCACATTACAGCTCACTAATTAACTGGGCAATTAGTTGTTCAAGGCCCGTCTTCACCTGTAAAGTGTGAGCCCACAAGGACATGCCTGTCATGTCCCCTACTGTGTCCCCAGAGCCCAGCACGGGGCCTGGCACTCAGCAGGTGGCCAGTAAATGTCTTTGGAAAGAATGAATGAAGGATAGAGCACAGGTAACTATATTTGCCATCTTGTAATAACCTATAATGGAAAACAATCTGAAAAAGAATGCATAACCGAATCACGTGGCTGTACGCCTGAAACTAACACAACATTGTAAATCAACTGTACTTCAGTTTTAAAAAAAAAGGATGAATGAAGGAGTGGATGAATGAATGAGTGGCCAGCCCAGAAGGACAGAAGAATTTACAAGCCTTCCACAGATCTGATGAAACCACCATCCCAACCAAAACGTCCGGGTGCCCGCCGGCCCCTGGCAGCCACTGACAGGGTCTGGACTCAGAAGGGCCGGCCAGAGCCACTCCTGCTGCTGCCGTGGTGGCCCCAGGAGTGTCTTTGTGCCTCGTGTCTGTGCTGATCCTCACCCCCCTCCCCACCCGGCCCCATTATGAAAGGAAAAAGCGCTTCCAAAAAAGTGGAACATGCCACAGTGATGGATAACCTAAATGGACTCTCCCCGCTTGCGAACAGATGTCGACGCTGAACTCTGTCAGAAATAATTAAACACCTTTCACACGGAAAAGCAGCAGGCAGGGCGCAGGCGCTCCTGGGCTGGGTCAGCGCAGAGCAAGCTGGCTTTCCATCCCTCCCCATCCGGCACCACGCAGGGCACCTCTGGGTCCGGAGCCCAAGCAGGACCAGGGAGAGGAGCAGAAGCACCCCTTGGTGGGGGCCTGGTCCAGCCCCACAGCGTCCAGCGCTCCCTCCTGGTCTGTGTGACCAGCAACCACCACCCGAGGGCCAGCGCCCAGAGGGAGGGTTGGCCAGCAGCTGGTGAGTGGATATGCTACCGGAACACTCACCATGGGCCACCAGCCAGTCACCAGGCTGGACCAGCGGCTGGACCAGCGGCTAGACCCCCCTGGACCTCAGTTTCCTCATCTGAAAATGGAGGGGGTGGTACTAGTTCTTAAGGATTTCTTCCAGCCCAAGGTTCCGTGATCCCAAGTTTACTGGCAAGGAGCCATGTGGCAGGAGGCACGGGGGCTCCTGGAGGTGGCAGACCCCAAACCCAGAGTTTTTTGGAAACTGTGAACTCATCACCTCGTCCCTGAGTGGGGGAACCGCTGGGCTTGGGGCCCGTGCCCTCTCTGCCTGGAGGCCAGGCTCTCTCTGTCCTTGGTGAGGTGTGCTGGGGGCTGGGGGCTGGGGGCAGGGAGGAGGGGGCAGTGTGTGTGTGTGTGTGTGTGTGTGTGACTCTGAGTCAGCCAAACCTGGCTCACGTGGTGACCCTGCCACTCCTGGCCTGTCATGAGGCTACCTGTCCAAGGCCCCGTTTTCTCTTTCATAAAATGGGCCAGTGACACTGCCCTGGCAGGGCTGCTGGGAGGATTCTGCAAGAACAGGTGTACGACATTTAGCAGAGTGCCTGACCCTTATCACATCGCCTGTGAATGGCAGCTGCCGTGCGGATGGTCCTGGTGGTCACTCACTCACTCATTCATTCACAAAGCTTGTCGCCGAGCACCTTAGTGTCAGACTCTGTTCTTAGTGCTGACGACACACCACTGTGTGATGGACGGCAGACAGGTAACTGCACAGGTGGATGGCTAGACGGAGACGTTTAAAGAAACTCCACCTTCAGGTGTCCATTCCCACAGCCTGAAATGCTGCGGAGATACCAACCTTGAGCTGGCGGCCCCGAGTCTGGGGGTAGGGACGACCCTCACGATGATAACCCCATCAACACAATTCAGGCACAGGCTGGCCCACCCTGTTCTCCTGCCTTTTGCCGAAACCTCCTCGGGTGTTTCCAGCAGGGGGCCAGATGTTTGGCTTGGCCAGGACAGCCCTCCTTTGGCCAGCT